TAGAACTTAAGAGTCTCATCAAGATATCACTCCACCAATCTACGGCTCATCATGGGCATGAAATGGAGCTCCATAAGGGCAAGTAAGATGACTGAAGTTTGGGCTTAAAGCTGCTGATTGCAGCTATACTATGGGACTTTCGAGCCTAGAAGAAGAGTGAAGGTGGCGTGATTGGCTTGTGGCTTGAGGACCATGTTGTTCTATGCACCAGGGAGCATGAAATACCCAACTGTGGCTATGGGCTATACACAACTTAAGAAGAACAAATGGGGAGAGGGGTGTGAATGATCTAGTTTTTCAAGAGAAATTTGGGCAGCATAACAATTACCATGAGAGAGAGAGAAAATGAACCCCAAATAATTTGTAGATGAGAGTAGGGTTCGGCATGTGATCTAAGAAGGGTCAGGACATTAAGCTTTCCCTTAACCCATCCCAAGCCCGGGTAAAGGAGGTGGGTAGTGTGTGGTAGGCCACCAACCTGAAACTTTACCAAAACATTTCATGAATCTTGAGTAGACTAGGATTCGTGTAGCCAACCCTAAATAGTTGGGAAAAAGTTCTAATGATGATGATGATGAGGAGTTAGGGTTTGGCATGGGCCTAGGATTAAGATGGAGCAATGTGGGCCATTGATTAAAACAATTTATGGGGTGAGAGATGCTTCATCCAAGTCATCTATCCTATGATTCATCAATCAAAGGATATGATTTAATGCGTTATCCTGTAGGTTTCCAAACTCTAATTGCCTTTTGTTTTCAAACTAAATGCAATTCTAGGTTAATTATCCAATGAGCCCCATTGAATATCATGGTATTGTTTATTTTCCACATTGTGTAAAATGAAAAAGGTAGAGAGAGATGCACCTTGCTTTTATAATATAAAGCTGTCGCTTTATATAAACTTTTTCCTTTGTCTTATTAGACATAAATCTAAAGTTTGGGATTGCTTGAAACTATTTTACCAAAGGTTAGAAATTATTTCAGGAAGCACTTTAATTTTTTGAGATCAGATCATGGGTAAGAATATACAACAAATAATATAATGGAATCTAGCCTCAGATTTCATGTACATTGACCCTCAAAAAATGGGGTTTGCTAAACGAAAAAATGGACACATTGTGGAGACTGCATTATTTGTGATGCTTGACTCTCATATTCCTTCCTTCGTGGGGGGAGAGGCTTTCCTAACCCAACAAATCTACCTTATTAATCATCTCCTTAGATAAGTATTCTTAGGTACCACCCATAAGTATAGACCCTATGGAATCATTGTTGATTACTTTCTTCTACATGTGTTTGGTTGTACATGTTTTGGGGTGCATGCATATTCTTAACTCCGTAACAAAATTTATTTGGCCTAAAGCATGTTGAGGAGTATTTATTGGTTACAATCCATACCACACGGCTGATAGATGCTATAGTCCCTTAATAAGGAGAGTGTTTACTTGTCACTGTGTTACTTATGATGAGTCTAATCTAATCATACTGCTTTTCTGATGTTTACTTACCTCCTTTCTTTCACGAGGTCTGTTTAAAAGTATAAAGGATTCTATTAAAGGGGGAGAGCATGTAAATATGAGTCCACCACAGTGTTCCGAAAAATGCTGGGCGGCACCTAGGCAGCCCGGGGGTCCAGGCCACCCAGCGCCTAGGCGCACCCAGAACCTGGGTGGCCCAGTAGAATAAATAGTTGTTTTAAGGTCATATTTTGTGTAAAAAATGTAAAAATACATATTGAGACAAATTTTAGTCCATAATTCCATGTATTTCAAATTCAACAATCAAACTTTGGAGTTTAAACTTCAAACCATTAGGCATTTAGAGTGTTAGACCATATCCGTAATACTTACGATAATCCGAACTCCATGCATTCCAAAGTCAATATCATTTGATGCTATAGAAATCACAAAAATCTAGTTTTTTGATGTTTCTATCTCTTTAAAATGGGCTCTAATGGGGCTTAGGTTTGAAATGATCCTGAACCCCACTATTTACAATCTTAGTTTTATAAAACAACCCAAAAATGCCCCTCAATGAGGGGCATTTTCACCCTTGGGCGAGGCACAAGCCCTGGGTGACCGCTTAGAGGCAGACCGCCTATTTTTACCGCCTAGGCCTAGGCCAGGCGCCCAAGCCCCTTGGACCGCCAAGGCACTAAGCAGACCGCCTTTTGGAACAATGGTCTACCATATCCTCGTCAACCTCTGACTGGTTTGAAGGCTCGTGCATTGCAACCATTACCAAATGAGGCAAGTGCATCCTCGTTGGAGAGGTTGGATTTTGATTCTTTAGGGATGATGCACCACAAAAAGAGATTTCCTAGTCTAGCTCCTAGTCTATTTATATATCAAAGACGATATACGGGAGTTAAGATATCAGGCAAGACCCATCTCAGATTACACTGTTGTTAGGCTTTGTGGCCTTTAAAGCCCGTGAGAGCATGTAAATAAATACCTGTAGTGGATTGCACACTTCAGTGGGAGTGTATGTGTTGGTTGATTGACCTATGGCTATGCGGTCTTTGACCCTGGTCATGTCCAAAACCCTTTCCCCATGCATATGGCATTACAGAAGAAGATTTTCAAAGGGTCATCCCTTGTGGACATCGAAGAGATGCCCACAAATTGTTTATAGGCTAAGAGAGCTTTGTGGTCTTTTGTATGCAGATATAGGCCAATGACATAAGGGCTAGACCTTCAACAAACTTCTGCACGGCGTGTATAGATTACAGCCACATACCGGGAACCAACCCAACAAAGGGTATGTGTAAATGTGCATAAAGAGAGTCACCATTGCACTATAGCGATATGTGCGTATGATTTACTCTAATCAAACGTTCCTATATTCCAGATGTCCCTCTTCCACATGCCCGCTGCTGTTGCATCTCGGCTCGAAAGACTCGTGCGCAACTTCTTGTGGTCAGGTGATAGTGCAACCAAGAAATAACACCTAATTTCATGGACCCCAGTTTGCAAGCTCATGTCTCAGGAGTGCCTGGGTATTCTCTCTCTCAAACTCAACAATTTGGCCCTTTTGAGTAAATGGTGGTGGTGCTTAGCAACCCAAGAAGGCCACTTGTGGCAGATCATACTTCGGCGCAAATACTGGTTCCTTAGGCCCCCCTGCCTACTCTCTCCTCCCTACAATTCCTGCTCTAGTGCTTGGAGGTCCTTCCTACATTAGCTCTTTCCTTTAAAAATTAATATCCGCTTCCATGCTGGAATGGGTAACAACATTAGCTTCTGGTCTGACCTCTGGATTGGCCATTTTCCCCTGAGAGACCTTTCCCCATCCCTTTTTCGCCTTGCTAGTGATCCCAACATCTCAGTTTCCATCTCCTTCCAACCTATAGGAGTCTCGCGTTCTTGGAACCCCAATTTCTGTAGAAATCTCCTTGACGGAGAGAACCTTGGTTTCCTTCAAGCCCAAGCCCATATACATTCTGGCTACCTCTCCCCCCATGGATTAGACAAGACCATTTGGTCCCTCACCTCAGATAGCTCCTTCTCAGGTGCCTCATCCGCCCTGTTCACCCCTCCCACTCCATTGTAGCCAAGGCCTAGCAGCCCTTTATTCCCCCCAAACTCCGATATTTCTACTGGATTGCACTCTCTGAAAGAGCATTGATTGTTGATCAGCTTCACCAAAGGGGCATGACTATCCCAAACCGCTGCATCATGTGCGTGGAAGATGAGTCCAATCCTCAACTTTTCATTCACTCTGTGTAGCCCACACGCTTTGGAAGGATACCCTTCTCCTCTTCAACTGGTATTGGGTTACCCTGAGGTCAGTGCCCCAACTGTTCGAGATGGTCAAGTTCCTCCCATGGGCCTCTTCGGGCATCCTCTTGTAGAAGGCCTCCATAGTAGCCACCCTGTGGGCCATATATGGAGCGAGCATAATAATTATATCTTCCAAGGTCGCTTCTCCCCTGTCCACTCCCTCAGCGACAGCATCAGATCCAGGGTCATCATTTGGGCCTCTAATCACAAGCTCTTCAAGCATATCCCTACCTCCTCAATTTGCAGATTCTCCTCTCCCTGAGGCGCCCTCAACATCCCTCGATCATCCCTTTGGATACCCTCAGATCAAGGCAAGACCAAGCTCAATTTCGATGGCTGCTCACTGGGCAACCCTGGTCCCGTATGAGTCGGAGGCATTTTCAGAGATTATTTAGGCACCTCCATTTCCTCTTTCGCCAAACCCATCGGTCAAGCCGCCTCCTCCATGGCTGAAGCTCTTGTCCTCCTTGAAGGGCTCAAACTTTTCAACTTCTTTGGAGCCCCCATCTTATAGTGGAAGATGACTCTAAAAACATTATGGGGATGGAAACACCTCCGTGGAGACTAGCCCATGTCTTTGACGAGAGCTTCGACATTTGGCAGTCTATTCCGGTTTCATGAACTCATATTTGGTAGGAGGCGAACCAAGTCGTGGATGCACATGCTAAAGAAGGAGCAGCAATGACAGGAGACTAGTCGCTCTCTGCCTATTGCGGTTTTTTGGGTATTTGGCTTGCCAGCCACTAGACTGCCTTTTGTTTTCTATCATTTTTTGTCTACACCACCCTCTCGGTGGTCTTTCCATAGTGCTCCCGTTGTTGTGGGATACCCATTTTTTGGCGATCTGTACATTTTAGTCTTTACCTTAATACTATACAATGGTGAATACGTTAAAAATAAAGCGAAATCTATTAGAGTTATCATAATGTGTAACCCTGGTTTGATAAAACAAGGGCAACTTAGGATGTTGTCAAGACAGATAATTGATATAGCTTTCAGCTCTTCTTTATCACTATTTAACTTATAGCATGAAAAATTGAAAAGGAAACTGCCCTACCAAATAAAGTATCTTTAAGAAATGACATGCTTGTGTTTTATTTGAAATTAATATTAGCTCACTGGTTCCTCCATTTGATGATAACTGTTTGATTATTCATTTATGCCTGAACTCAACTGTCGGAGGCTTTATTAAGCAGACAAATTATTGTTATGTTTCCAGATGTGGTTATAGAACATGCAAATTGGAATGCTTCTAAAGTTCGTGAGAAAGTTCGACGTGATATTGATGCTCATGTGACATCTCTCCGTGCTGCCAAATTGTCTCAACTTATTGCTCATTATGAGGTAGGTAGTTGGCATGCCTTTTCAGTCCATGAGCTAGTATTGTTTTTCATATATGTTTTGTATCCTCATGTATCTGTTAGGAACTTTAACAAGAAATAATCTTCTTGGTTATGTTTGTATATTTTCAGAAACAACTCGATGAAGCCCTTGCTGCACCTGTCGAATCTCTTCTCAGTGCTGCTAGTGATGATACTTGGCCCTCAATAAGAAAACTACTTAAACGGGAGACTGAGCAAGCCACTTCAGGGCTTTCTTCCACTCTTGCAAGTTTTGAAGTTGATGAAATAACTCATGATCAGATGCTTGCAAATATTGCAGGCTTTGCTAGAACTGTGGTTGAGAAAAAGGCAAGAGAAGAAGCTGGGAAGGTCTTAATTCATATGAAGGATAGGTAGTGATTATTTATTATTCTTGTTACCCTCATGCTTTCCTCATTTATTAAGGCACTGACCTTGAACTGTTTGCAGGTTTTCTACAATATTCAGCCATGATGCTGACTCCATGCCTAGAGTTTGGACTGGGAAGGAAGATATCAGAGCAATCACAAAGAATGCTCGCTCTGAGGTATATTGTAATTAATCACTTTGAATTTCTGGAAAAGTATTTGCTGACATTGTCTATATATCATCATGTTTGCTGGCTTTAGGATTTGAAGGAATTCATCTTATTTGTTGCAGTCTATGAAGCTGCTTTCTGTTATGACTGCAATTCGTGTAGATGAGAAACCTGATGATGTTGAGAGTACTCTTCTGTCTGCTTTACTGGATGCTCCTAACAATAATGTTTCTAAAAAGAGCATCACATCCTCATTGGATCCACTGGCGTCCAGTTCTTGGCAAGAGGTAGCATTCTCCTATTTATTAATGTTTTCTTAGAGGTATCATTCATGACCATGCTTGACATTTGGCTGATAACCAGGTTCGTCCAAACAATACATTGATTACCCCAGTGCAATGTAAGTCCTTGTGGAGGCAGTTCAAAGCAGAAACAGAGTACACGGTCTCACAGGCCATTGCTGCACAGGCATGTCCTTTCTCTCTGTCCCTTTTTTTACAGTTTCTAATTGAAATCTTTAATCATGCTTCCTCAATGTAAATAGTTGTGTTTTGGGGGGGGGGGGGGGGCAGGGGAGAGAGAGAGAGAGAGAGAGGACTTGTTTTTTCTCCTTGGAGTTATACATTACACCAGAGAAGTGTCATGAGTGGATATTTTTTCGTCATTCAGCCTTCTATGGCATAACCTATCTAATAACAGCTGGTTACTAGAAAATCTGTTATGTTTGATTCTCTTCAGGAGGCCTCCAGGCGTAATAACAGCTGGATGCCGCCTTCATGGGCAATTGTGGCTCTGATCATCCTTGGCTTCAATGAATTTATGACACTCTTAAGGTAATCCTCATGCACTATTATGCCCTCTATGTAAGTTTTCATATTAGAGTTTTTTTACCATCAATAACTGAAAGCCTCTCATATTTATGTGAATAGGAATCCCCTATATCTTGGTGTGATTTTTGTTGCTTATCTACTGAGCAAAGCTCTTTGGGTTCAGCTTGACATATCTGGGGAATTTCGCAATGGGGCTGTGAGTAGTTTAATTATGTAATTATTATTTATAGATAGCTTCCATTTGTATCAGCTGATCGCATAGTGGTTCTGTGCAGCTTCCTGGAATTTTGTCATTATCAACTAAGCTTGTTCCTACTATTATGAATCTTCTAAAGAGACTGGCAGATGAGGGACAAAAGTTCGCTCCTCCTGAGCCTCCAAGAAACCCAATGCTCGACTCCCAGAGTTTCAAAAAGGAATTACACAAAGACCTTTCATCAGATTCCTTTGGGGTCGAGTATTCTAGTTCGTTGACTCAGTGACCAGGTTCCGATGCGTGCACTTATTCCTTTTGATCCCTCTAGTGCGTGTGGTTTGTATTACAAGGCCATAGCCCCATTGTTTTCAATGTTTATTGGCTTGGTTAGAGTGTCATGAATGCTCTACCTTTCAAAATTTTTGTGGTATTCTTTTTATGTTGTTGGTCTTGTGTTGTGGAAGAGTGGCGTGGCCTGTTTTGGTGGAGGTATAGGTAGATTTGGGAAATGATTCACTAGTCCCCTTGTTATGTATCTTTTCTAACATGCATATACCCTTGTTATGTATCTTTTCTAATATGCATATACCGTTGCTATTTGAATGTATATGGTAGACAACTAGATACCTGTCCTACCAATTTTATTGTATTGCAGTTTTCCTACTATTTTCAGTGTTTCTCCTTCCTTAAAGGGTTGTTGACATCAGTACCTCTCATCTAAGAGCCTGTTATGTAGATTACACTCTTCCGATTACGAGGGCGCCGCCCATAAGATGAATGCGGTCAAGCAACTGCTGGCCTGCCCACTCTGAAGCAAATTCAGTTTTAGGTTTGCAATTCATCTTCAAACAGGATAAACTTGACGAAAGGAGTTTGTAATAGATATACTATGCTCCTGGGGGATCATATACTGTATACTTACTCCCTCAAGCAGAAGACTTGCTTGGGAACAATTTTTTTTTTTTTATCCAAAATTTAGGGAACCACCTAAAAATCACTATATAATTAATTTTTAGGAAAAAAAGATTTCTAACATGTAGATTCCACTCCATGCTTCAAAAATTGGATGATTTCTATTCAATCTTGAGGCATTATTTTATTCAACCCATGGAGAAGGCGATTGGGACATTCTTTTATCGATTTAGCCTATGAATTGAGAAGGTTACATTCCCAAAATTTGGGACACAAAAAATACTCCTAGGTTGGGTTTACAGAGAGTAAACAAACAATATGCTCCCTAAGGACAAAAAAATCTTTTGGCATATATACTTGGTTAGACTTTTGTGGTATTTTTCATCATTTAACTTTAAGCTCCCTTGACTATTGAAACGTTCCTAATAGGAAAACCTAATACAAAAATATCTTCTCCCTCTCCGAGTCTAGTTTCTTTTTTTTTTTTTTGTTAATATAAGTAACTTCTGGCCACAATTTGGCGCCTCGCCACCCTTACCGCATGTGCCAATAGGCCATGTTACTTCTCTTCCAGTTGAAGTGGCTCGAAACCTTAGTTGAATGCAATCTAAAACTGTTTGGGTGTATTAAGGACCTAGTTTCTATGCGGCCAAACCCGTGTAGATGTAGAAATACGGGTCTATTAATAAATCTATTTTTGAAAATAAGTAAAATTTTAAAAGTAGAAATAATAATTCTAGTAAGAAAACATTTGGACCGTTAGTTTTTATTGTTTTTAGATGGAACACCTATTTGCATCCATCTTTAATATGGATGTTTTACACTTTTTAGACCGCATATGTAGTCATACGGTCTAGCCCGCATGAGATAATTATCCTTAAAGTAAATTATAATAATATTTATTTCACATTATTACTTTGTCAAATGTTAGCTTTAAGGAAATGAGAGTTTTCTTGTTGAGGCAATCAAATGTGAGTGCCAAACAAGAGCCGACTCGATAGATAAACAAATTTATTCATCTATTCTGTCCTAACATATTGATTTATGACAAAATACGTTCATAATTTTTAAAAAGATTATATAAAGTTGCAAACTGACTTGTAGAAGTAATGGTGTAATAAAAGCCAAGGTATATGTAATGTGTCACCTTTTATATTGTCGAAATAAAGTGCACCTAGAAAATCAGCCTGAAGCAACCGGGTTTCTTCAATATTGAAACATCCTACAATTGCTCATTTTGAAATCGCGATTTACACATATGAAAGAAAAATATTAAGTGCGAAAAGTAATGTATCTCGTAATACATTATTCATATTTTCTAAATTTTTAGTGCTTGTAGATCTATTCAGTCTATACACCTTTTTTGAGAATTAAATTTCATAATTCGGACAAAAAATCAGATTTTTAGGTCGTCATAAGGATTTGTAGCACCAAAATTGTATCTTTTAGTACTATTTAGAGGTGCAGCTTACTTTGATTATTTAAGCTTGATACCTTATGCACCCTGCATTCTGCAATAAATAACAATGTTCATTTTTATTTGAATAGTATAGACTTCACACTGTCTTAAAATCCGTATCCCTTTCTGACATTGTCTTAAAAGATGTATTAAATTTACTCCATCCAAGTAAAATGGAGGATGTTAAATATCATAATCTTATTTCTGCAATAAAATTGCAACTCAATGTAAACCACACCCTTAAAAATTTATTGATTTGTTCTGCCCAAACATATTTTATGTCTAGATGGATTTAGAAATTTATTGATCGATTTTGTCCTAATATTTTTCTTTTGTTGATTAATTATATTTAAAGTTTCTCTAGTTATGCAATAACTATTTTATGCTTAACGGAAACGCTGTCCAATTTAGGATACTGATAGGATTTGTTCCTCATGTAGTTTCAAGATAAGTTATCCTTCTTTATAACTACTCATGGTTACAGCTATAACCAACTATAGTCCCAAATGTTGACCCTAATTTTCTTGGGTGGATACAGTGATATCATACATTTGGGTGGAGATAGTGATCCTTATTCCTATGGAATTAAGGGCTTTTCATATAAGGGGGGAATATTTGGTAGACAGGTGGGTTTTGGATGTTCATTTGGACACACAAGTCAAACAACTAGTTGCGAGGATTTTTGAACCCCAAATTCGCTCCATCAAAATAAGTAAAGCCTCATCTCATAACTCATCGAAAATTGTAATTCAAGCATTAAAAAACATTTACATTGAGCATCTTGGCTTAAATATTATGGTTGTGAAAAACAAAAAGGATTTCAAGCTCTCAAAATAATATATATTGCAACAAATTATCTATTGCCCTAAAAATAAGTGTTCATAGATCCACATGATCTACATCATTTTTAAAAGTTTCAAAATTTGTTGTTGGTGTTGGAAATTGATTGGGACCTATATTTCCGGAAGATGATTTGGGATGAGACTTTATTTTGTATTCGTGAAGCCTAAGCCTCGTAGAAACTTCATCCATTCATAAATCATCTTCAACTCACCATGAATTCAGAATAAATTTTTGACTTAGGCATGTATAAAAGACTCGAATCAATTTTGATTTTTTTTTAAGATTGTTATCTTTTGTCTTTATTCAATTCTTTTTTTTTGTTTATTAGGGCCCATTTGATTCCCTCGATTTTTCAATCCTGTGGAAAAGTGTATCCTGAAATTGGCATTTATTGAAATTGGCATTTCCTAAGATTATAGTGCATGTTGTTTGGATTGTATCCGTAGAAACCATGAAAATACAAATTCATTATTTGGATTGCCTAGAATATCTTTTTATTGGAAATGTAAATCCTCTCTTTATAAAATTTTTGAAACAGTTTCTCTCTCTAAAATTTGATAGAAGTTTTTCTCAAAAATTTTAATACACTCTTTCAAAAACTTAAAATTTGAAATAGTCTCTATCTAAAATTTTTGAGATAGTTTCTCTCTCTAAACAATTTTGGGTAGCTTTTTTTTCTAAAATATGATATAGTTTCTCACTCTAAAATTTTAAGGTACTTACTCTCTCTAAAACTAAAACTTTGAGATAGTTTCTTTTCAAAAGTTTTGATATAATTTCTCTCTAAAAAATTTTAGGTATTTTCTCGCTCTAAAATTTGATATGGTTACTCTCTCTAAAATTTTAATTTTGCGTTAGTTTCTCTTTCTAAAATTTTCAAGTAGTTTTTTTGTCTAAAATTTTAATATACTTTCTCTCTTTAAAACTTAAATTTTGGAGATAGTTTCTCTTCTAAAATTTTTGAAATAGTTCTCTCTCTAAAAATTTCAGGTATCTAAAATTTGATATAGTTTCTCTCTCTAGAGGTTTTAATATATTTTCTTTTTCTAAAATTTAAATTTTTGAGATAGTTTCTATCTCTAAAAATTTTCAGATAGTTTCTTTATCCAAAATTTGATATTGTTTCTAATATCTAAAATTTTAGTATACTTTAGCCTAAAACTTAATATTCTAGATAGTTTACCTATCTAAAAGTTTTGAGATATTTCTCTCTAAAAAATTTTAAGTAGTTTCTCTCTCTAAAATTTAATATATTTTTTCTTTCTAAAATTTTAAGATACTCTCTCTAAAATTTTAAATTTAAGATGTTTTCTGTCTCTAAAAAACTTTATGCATTTTCTCTCTTTAAAAAATTTCATTTACTTTCTCTCTCAAAAAATTGACATAGGTTCCCTCCTTAAAATTTTAATATATTTTCTCTCTCTAAAATTTGATATAATTTTTCTCTCTAAAATTTTAATATGTTTTTGTTCTTCAACAGCAGAATGGGTTGTTTCTACGAAATGCAATTCCACCAATTTTAGTGGAATTGAGATATCCAAAATTTAAGCTTAAACTGGGCATTCAAGAATCCCACGGAATGTCAGTTCCAATATAAATGCCAATTCTAAGCGAACCAAACACAATTAGCCTAGCTCTTTTCTAGGAAAAGTGACTCCTTCAAATCCGAATCCAAAGAACCAATGGAAGAATATCTGGTAATTCCTTTGAAATGTATTTCTTGAGAAAAATATTTCCAATAAAATAGATTTCTATTGTTTGGATGGTGTACATGGATGCATTAACAGTTTTATGGTTTTTTTTTTTTGTTAAATGCTTTTAATTGTATTATTCATTATAGTGTCATTTTTGGTGTTAAATTTAAGACAGTTTCTCTCTCTAAAAGTTTTTAAGATAATTTCTATCAAAAATATTTGAAGTTGTTTCTCTAAAAAATTTTAAGATATTTTCTCTCTCTAAAACTATAAATTTGTGATAGTTTCTCTCTCTAAAAAAATTTGGTACTTACTCTCACTAAAATTTGATGTAGTTTACCACTCTAAAATTCTAAGATACTTCTCTCTCCTAAAACTTAAATATGAGATACTTTTTCTCTCTAAATTTTTTGAGATAGTTTCTCTCTAAAAGTTTTGAGGCAGTTTCTCTGTCTATAATTTTAAAATACTATCTAAAACTTAAAATTTGTGATAGTTACTTCCACTAAAAATTTTGAGATACTTTCTCTAAAATTTTTGAAACATTTTCACTCTATAAAAATTTTCAGGTACTTGCTCTCTCTAAAACTTAAAATTTGAGACAGTGTCTTTATTTAAAATTTTAAGATATTTTTTCTCTCTAAAACTTAAAATTTGAAATAATTTTTCTTTTTAAATTTTTGACATATTTCTCTCTCTAAATTTTTTTTTACAGCTTCTCTTTTTAAAAATTTTGACATAGTTTCTCTCTCTAAAATTGGAAATTTGA